TACAAATATATAAATAAAAACACCCTATAATATTGGCTGTAACGCACTATGATTTCTGATTAACATTGACATTAAAAGCAACAACTTTTGTAAATAAAACCATGAACTGAATACTTTTTACTGTAAGTCGTTAATATTCTATAAAGAGAATTTCTACTTTTACTAAAGTTAAGAAGTTTTGTACTTTGGTTTCTGCTGCTAAGAAGTGATGTGGTGGGTGGACAGGGGGGTCTAGATGTAGATGAAAAACAGTACACAGTACAGGTGATATCTGCCCACCTCTGTGCAGGTGTTATCAGCACACCTCGGTGCAGGTGGGATCTGGCCACTTCGGTGCAGGTCTGTTTCCTCTCTGGAGCTGCTCTGTATCACATCTGTACTGTATGTGTGTGTGTGTGTGTGTATGTGTGTGTGTGAGTGAGTGAGTGTGTGTGAGTGAGAGAAAGTGTGTGTGTGTGTGTGAGAGTGTGTGTGTGAGAGAGTGTGTGAGTATGAGAGAGTATGTGTGTGTGTGTGAGTGTGTGTGTGTGAGAGTGTGTGTATGAGAGAGAGTGTGAGTATGAGAGAGTATGTGTGTGTGTGTGAGAGTGTGTGTGTGAGAGAGAGAGTGTGTGTGTGTGTGAGAGTGTTTGTGTGAGTGAGAGTGTGTGAGAGAGTGTGTGAGAGAGTGTGTGAGAGAGTGTGTGAGAGAGTGTGTGTGAGAGAGAGTGTGTGTGTGAATGAGAGAGAGTATGTGCGTGTGTGAGAGTGTTTGTGTGAGTGAGAGAGTATGTGTGAGAGAGTGTGTGAGAGAGTGTGTGAGAGAAAGTGTGTGTGTGTGTGAATGAGAGAGAGGGTGTGAGAGAGAGTGTGTGTGAGAGAAAGTGTGTGTGAGAGAGTGTGTGTGAGTGTGTGTGAGTGTGAGAGAGAGTGTGTGTGTGTGTGAGAGAGTGTGTGTGTGTCTGTGTGTGTGTGAATGAGAGAGAGTGTGTGAGAGAAAGTGTGTGTGAGAGAAAGTGTGTGTGAGAGAGAGTGTGTGTGTGTGAGAGAAAGTGTGTGTGTGTGTGTGTGTGTGTGTGTGAGAGAAAGAAAGTGTGTGTGTGTGTGTGTGAGAGAAAGTGTGTGTGTGTGTGTGTGTGTGTGTGTGTGTGTGTGTGTGTGTGTGTGTGTGTGTGTGTGTGTAGTTGGTGCTGTTCCAGAGAGAATAGATGACACACTGCTTTTAACAACATTAGCATTCCCCATTGCTCTATATAATTTAGTGCTTTTACTCTCAGAGAATGAAATGGGGGTGGGGGGTGGGGGGGCTGGAGGGAATTCTGCTGTTAAGGCTGCAGCAAACACACTGCAGTACAGTGTCTCATTAAAGTGATAAATCACACTGAATCATTAAAGCGATACTTCACTTTAAAAATAAACTTCAAATGTAGCCAATCAGCTGAGACGTGTTTTGTGTTTGAAGTTTGCTTCTTTAATTTTGTTGTGGAATATGAGGCTAATGTAGCTAACAGGGAATGAAAAACTTATACCTCACCAGTTGAGCGTGCCTCAGACCAGGTTGAGTAATTTGTCCAACTAGAATTTTTCTCCATTCACCAGTCCAGTTTTGAGGCTCCTGTGCTGCTGGAGATACTTTCTTGTTCTTTGCTGACATCTGAATCTGTCATGATCTTCAGCTGTTGTAACTTGTTTAAGATGAAGATCAAAAGAGAATGTAATTTGAGATAATGGTGTGGATCTTAAATTTAGATGTAATTTAAAGTAAAACCTTGTAATAGTGTGAGATTTAGATCTTAATAAGGTACATACATCACAGAAGACATCCTGACTGACCATCTCAGGTTCACTTAATCCAGGCACCACTGGGTCGTCACATCATTATTTATGTAACACTTTTTTACAGCAGGTGTCATCACAAAGCAGCTTTACAGAAAACCCAGGAAACTCTGAGTCCCCATGAGCGTCACCAAGAAAACCTCCCTCAGAGCAAGAGGAGGAACCACTGAGAGGAACCAAGACTCAAAAGGGGAACCCATCCTCCTCTGGACCACACCAGGTAGCAAACAATAACACGAGCAAAATAAACAGAGAATAGGATTTTACTATTAATATACAATATTGAACATAGAAACAGCCTGTAATTGGACAGAAGAGTTCAGATTAAGCGATGAGAACTGAACTGCAGATTTACAAATCAAGCAGTGAAATGACTTGAAGTGAATTATTTTATATTGTATATGAATGTATATGGTAGTATATGGAGTTGAGCACTAAAACTAATATTCTCTGTTTCTGTCTTAATGAATTAAGCTGATTAATTTACTGATATCACCAACATCAAAAAATCACCAACATCAAAAACATTATTGTAACCGTTCGTCAGAAAACAGACGCTCGTGGATTAAAAGGGCAAAAGGTGTTTTAATAGGGCTAGGCAGATGCGTGGTCAAAAGGCAGGCGTGGGTCAATTCCAAAAGACAAATCCAAAATAAAGCGGTGATCATATCACCAAGCAGACAAAGTCAAAAGGGCAAGGCAAAACAAAGTCAGAAAACAGGCAAAGGTCCAAAAACACAGATCAGCAAAAACAGGCAACAGTACAAAAGGGCAAAGGCTAAAGGCAAAGTCAAATAACGGAACAAAGGTCAAAAACATACAGCAAATAACTCTCAGACAAAACGCTCAGTATGCTCTGGAAGAAACAATACCTCGCAAAGAGCTAAACTACAGCCCGGGCTTAAAAGCTATTCTAGCTAGATCATATGACTGAAAACACAGGTGCAAACATTTAGCATTCAGGTGAGTGCGACCTCTGATAGGAGCGTGTGATCTCCTCAGAGGTCATGTGATTCCCCACCGCATTGTGGGTATTGCAGTCCATCGAGTTTTCCGAATTGGAGGGAAGTTGCATTGTCACGTGATCCTCGTGAGGATTCTGGGAACTGAAGTCCAGGTTCTCTAGTGACACGGATTGATGTGTGACAATTATCAACATCACCAACATCATCAATATCACCAACATCAAAAACACCAGCAACATGACCAACATTAAAAAGATCACCAACATCAAAAACGTCACCAACAAAAAACAATACCAATGCCAAAAAACATCACCAACATCACCACCACTAAAAACACCACCATTACCAACACCAACACCAAAAAACATCACCGACATCAAAAAACATCAACACCAAAAAATCACAAACACACAAAAATGTCACCATCAAAGAACATCGCCAACACCAAAAAACACCACCGACATCAAAAAACACCATCAAAAACATCATAAGCAAGGAACTGAAATGCAGATTTTCATTCAAATCAAGCAGTGAAATTACTTGAAGTGATCTCAAAAAACATTGCTGACATGAAAACACATCACAAACACCAAAAAACACCACCGACACCAAAACACATGACTGACATCAAAGAACATCACTAACACCAAAAAAAAAATCAACACCACCAACACTAAAAAGACCACCATTACCAACACCACCATCACAAACACAAAAAACATCACCAAAACAAATAAACATGACTGTTGATCATTTTTCAGAAAGTCTGGACTCTTGGATGGTCAGTCAGGACTGTTTTCTGAAAATGGCAGAGCAGATTTAACCGTTCACTAAGAAAACGTTAAAAAACACTATTAAAGAGCACTAAAATGCTCATTTATTACTGCTATATTACTGCTGTATTAACGCTGTATTACTGCTGTATTACCACTATATTAATGCTATATTACTGCTGTATTACTGCTATATTACCGCTACATTACTGCTGTATTACTGCTATATTACTGCTACATTACTGCTTTATTACTCCTGTATTACAGCTATGTTACAGCTTTATTGCTGCTATATTACTGCTGCAATATTACTGCTGAATATGAATATGAATTTTTATAATACTATTATTTATAATACTGGAGTTGAGGTTTTATGAAACAAAAACAATCATAATTTATTTTCTCATCATTTTCCATCATCTCTTTATCACTTAGACTGAAACAGTCTGTTTACTGTTACTGTTCCGTTAGAACAGTAAAACTTAGTTTTCTATGATATAATCCTTCAAAATCATGCTAACTTTCATTCCATGGAAAGTTCGAGAAGATATACTCATTACAGGAACTGTAAAATAGCATGTACATATATCGATATTAAAAGAACATGTGCAAACCATTAAAAAACAAAATTCATGTTTTAACTCAGCCAGTAAAGACCCAGAAGAGCCCAAATGAAGTTAACAATGCTGTGATATTTGTACAGATTTGCTGTCTATAACTAACAAAAGTTGTGCTGCTGTCGGCCTCTTGTGGCCAAAAGTGACCAAAACAAGCTATTTTCATACTAATGAAGCTGCAGTTATGAAATGCTTCTTAACTGTTTTTGTGTATTTGTGTTTTTGTTTTTGGTCCAGGAGCATCTGTGGAGGAGGGCAAACAGCCAAGCTCTCAGACTCCTGACATTTGACCTCTTCTCCTCCCACTCTACGCTAATGTGAGTGCTTTATTTTACTAATATAGCTCATTAGCACAGCAGATGTTAGCATGGTGCACATTAGCACAATTCATATTAGGACAGTTCATATTAGCATGGCTCATATTAGCATAGATCATATTAGCACGGTTCACATTAGCACAATTCATATTAGCGCAGCTCACGGCTCATAGCATGCTAACGTTCTTCTGAAGAAAATGCTAAATCATTACAGAAAGCTAATCGAAACAATAAAAACAATTCCTCTCAGATGAAAAAACCCAGAAATTGAATGATGTGTCATTTAGATAGTAAATGTTTATGATTTTGAACACACAACATGACTGTTAGTCACTGTTGAAGAGAAAAACTTCACCCAGAAGAAGAAGAGATGGAGATGTTGTGACACGGAAGTCATAAGTTATTATGTTAGACATAAAATAATGAAATCTGCTGGATGCTGTTTGAGTTGTGCTATTATCTGACTCTCTCTCTCTCTCTCGCTCTCTCTCTCTCAGGGTTTGATGGAGATCAGGTCGGATGACAGCTGGAACTGTGGTCATAACTGGAGGAATTCTGGCCACTGTGATACTGCTGTGTATCATTGCAGTGCTGTGTTACTGTCGGCTGCAGGTAAACATTCACTCGCTGATAGGGGTTCAGTGAAGTACACAGGGGTTCAGTGGAGTACTTGGACTGTTTTGCTGTTGTTTTAATCTTCTCTCTTTATTTGTCCTCTGTCACCCTCATGGGTCCGGGGGTCAGTATTACTGCTGTAAACGGAATGGCTCAGAAGTGGACTCAGGTTCGGCAGGTGACCCCCAGCCTCAGTTTGCCTGTAATGCCTGCAGCGCTTCGGGAGTGGATGGGGCAGCGGTCACTCCGTTGGCACTGCCCTTCGACCCCACGCTGCCGTTTGACCCTGCGGCAGCCCACGGGTACTGCCCCACCTGCGCACCCCACCACCTGCGGGATGGCGTGCGGAACGGTGGTGAGCGGCTGCTGGGCTTCATGCCCGGTCATTACGAGAACACACATGCCACGGCGCTGGGCATGGCTGCCCTGCTGAACCGCCGCAGCCCGCCAGACTTCATCACAAACACACACGCCATTAGCACCGATGTCTGACCCTGAGCTCTCCCACTGACCCCTACGAGGGTCAAGGCGCAGTACCCCCCTGCAGCGGAGCAGCGGATAGACAGACACCTGCAAGATGTCACTGCTGCTGATGCAGCTCCGTCGATGTGGACGCCAGCGTCAATGTTCTCTGTTCTATGCCCGACCTCCAGGTCAGTCTGAAACCACAGATGACCTCCTGACTGACCATCTCAGATCTACTCAATACTTTCAGGAAATAATGTCATTGTGTCCAGTGAAGAGAGTGCGTACAATTTTAGACTTTTATCTTTATCACCTTCTGAGATGTAGAGGCTTTAAAAAGTGGATGTGGCCTTAATTTTTTTGTATTAAAATGAGTGCTAAAGATTTGACAGTTTGAAAACACTGTTTATACTAAACACATAAAAATATCAGGAATGATTCTTTGGGTTGAGGGTTAGGGTTACATGGCAGCATCAGTGCAAACCATTTCAGATCAATAAGCACTTATTGTTGGTTAATCAGAGTAATAATGAAGACAGTGGCTGTGTGAGTCATATTCCTATTCATGTGTTAGATGATAAAGTCTATGAATTTTTTTCTGCTCTCTGTTTTCATAAAGTAAATTGACACAACAAAAGAATTCAGAATTGGCTTTATTAACTGAGAAGAACAGATTTGAGACATTTTTGTGTCAGCCTTGAAATATTAACTATCAAAATAGAAGACAGACATTTTGAAAAACTATTTTTATTTTATTATTGTTAGTTTTTTCCTGCTGAGGGGCTCTATAAATGTCCACACTTACATTCTTAAAATCTTTAAGATCTTTCAGTTTTCAAATATTGGTATTTATTTCTGTTTATTTGCACTTCTGATAAACATAGTTTGGCTGGAGAAATCAGCTTACATAACTGAAATGCTCTATTTTTCATGGCATAAATTGTTTTGTGGTATAATTTTCAGACATGGACAGTATTTGAAAGTCTGAGTTGATTTTCCTTCCATTTTAATGACTTACAATTTAGAAACCTTTATTACTATAAAATAAATGCATAGTTGTTGAAAGGGCACTGATATGAGTAACACAAAATAAAATTAGAAAGATCTGATGTGCTTCATTGTGGAGATATAGAGGGCAAAATATGCTCCAATATAAAAAAGGCTTATGTTTAGGAAAACATCAAATAGCATCTCCAGCGTGAAAAGAATTGTGAAAAGTATGTTGAACATTTAATGCACCTAGTAGCAATAGTTCAAAAGTTAAAGTGTTGGTTCAAAACTTATAAAAGTGTGCCTCATTATTAGTATAAATTTATGACAAAATCAAAAGCCACGCCCACTTTAAATGCTCTTTATTTGAGAAAGATACAAGACAAAAATATTGCAGGTAACTTATTAGACACATTGATATTCTTGCCTGAAAATAACAAATCAGAGAAAGACATTTATGGACTTTTCTGAAATCAACTGCTCTTTCCTTTCTGTTCCTGACTTTTCTCTGTGCTGCACTGATGGGAGGACACTGAGGAGGATGTGTTGGATGATGCTGTGGTTAGTTTTATCTCTCAATCTTCCACCAGATCTTAAACACACCCAGTAGAGATTTTATTATATACCTTTTTGACCATTTTCAGCAGCTTTAAACTTGACCTGAGGATGTAATAAAAGGAGCTGCTACAGTGAAGGTCCTTCAACTCAACTGTTCTGCTGGATGGAAGGAAAAGATATGCATCCAGATCTTACGTGCTTTAAAACCATCAGCTTTTGGAGGCGAAGCACTTAATGGCCTTCGAAAAGTTCTAAACTGTGAGATCTATGGGACAATATAAAATGTTTCAAATTCCATTAGAGGATTTTGGTGGAGTCAGCTGTGTGTGAGAAAGAGAAGGAGAAATGAATGGGTGTCATGTTGCAATACAGTACTGTACAAAATCAGAGACCCACTTCATTTACTTAATTTGCAGTCAAAACAGCAATTAAGTTTAAGTTATTCATAGCTATTGATTTTCTAGGAGATAAGATATAAAATAATCATAAAATATAAAAATAAAATAAAATAATAAAATAGACAAAAAACAGGAGTTTTCATAACTGGAGTTTAAATCTGATTAAAAGCTCCAGAGAAAATGTGTCTCCTAACAACCACCTGGAAGAGCTGTTAGACCCCAAAACTGCCCCATCAGATAAACAGCACTTAAAGCTTTCATCTCTGAGAGAGAGGAGAAAATCAAGCTGCTTCAGATCTGAAAACATCCACAGGTGTTTCTGTCCATCCTTCCACTGTGAGAAGATGACTCATCGCTGTGGGTCTGAAAGGACGTGTAGCTGACAAGAAGAACCTCACTGAGAAAAGGAGATGGACACAAATAAAGAAGCTGAACAATGGACTGACCACCCCAGAGTCCAGACCTCAACACCACTGAATGTGTTTGATTAGTTCAGAAAATCATCAACCAGCTTCTAAGACTGAACTTTGGAGGTGTGTCTGCAGATTCTTTGAGGAACTGAAAGTGAGTCTGAAATAAAGGGAAAGAGTGACTCACTGACTGAACACAGCTGAGAGTAGATTTAGCTGTGGAGACTTCTGGGTAGTTTTCTGTTAAAATGTGTTTTCTCTGATGTTGAAAGTTAAATAACACTGGAAAATTAAGAAATGAATGATGGTCTCTGGCGTTTGAACAGTACTGAACATCAGGAAAACAGTAACACATTGTGATTTACCCTGTAAGTGTTACTAAGTGGACTGACTGTATGAGGTTGTGCATCACCTTGCTGTTCCATTCTCTCTCCTTCACTCTGCTGTGAAGTTTGTTTCTTTTTGTTATTCAGATTTTAGTATGTGTATGTGTATGTATTACACAGTGCTGTTACCATGGATATGCATATTAGAGCCCTAGATATCTTATAAAGTTATTCTATACATAGCAATGGGAAGACACTTGGCTGCTCTGTTTGTACTGCAGCTTTACACTGTAAAACAAACAATATGAACTATTTTCATGTGTAAAAATCTGTGAAAATTTTTATTTCATGGCTGTAAAAGTTAGGAAATTCACTGATATTAACTTGTAAAAGAGGTATGCATTCTGACTAATGTTTATGTATCTGTGAGAGTTATATATCATGGAGAATATAATTGTTAGAAAAAATGAAAGGCTTCTGCTGATATTAACGTACCTCAGTTCTTACTCATAATATACAAACATGGTCAACTTGTGCTGTAGCTCTAACAGGCTAACAATCAGCTGCACTGTAAACCTCAGCAAACAGTCATGTACATTGCAAAACATGTTTTATGATCGAAAAATAGTCAAAGAACATCTCTTGTTCTTTGAGTGGGTTATTGGCTTCATTAATGGAGTTAATGAGCTCACACAAACACTAGAGCAAACCGGTGCAGCAGTAGATGGTGAAAAACACGTTATATTTTTTTTGCTCAGTGGATGATGTGTCAACATATTTGTCAAAACTACACTGAGAACAAAGAAAAGTACTTTCATTGTTTTTAGTTTTGTCTATCACCATTTCTGTTACTGTGAAAAATAAAATGAATAGAAGACGAACTGATCTCAAAAAGGCATGATGTTAAGGACAAAATACCCTTTTAGTATTTCAAGCAATATTAATGTATCATTATTGTTTTAAACAAGTTTGAGTAAAAATAAGGAAAGGAGCACAATGCCAAAGTTTTGGCAAAGTTTGAGCTCTTAGATAACTTTTGCCGAGGTCTCAGGCCTTAATTAGCTTGTTAGGCCTGTGGCTTGTTCACAATCATCATTAGGAAATGCCCAGTGATGCAAATTTCACAGGTTTAGAAATACTGACTCCTCAAACCTTCCAGCAATCAGCAGCCATGGGCTCCTCTAAGCAGCTGCCCAGCACCCTAGTAATTAAAATAATTGATGCCCACAAAACAGGAGAAGAGTATAAGAAAATAGCAAAGCATTGTCGGGTGGCTGTTTCCTCTGTTTGTAATGTTATTTAGAAATGTCAGCAAACAGAAACAGTGGAGGGTAAATTGCAGTCTAGAAGACAAAAAAACACATTCTGAGAGAACTGCTTGTATGATTGCTAGAAAGGCCAAACAAAACCCCTGTCTGACTGACCTTCAGGAAGATCTAGCAGACTCTGGAGTGGTGGTGCACTGTTCTACTGTGCAGTGACACCAGCACAAAAAAGAGTCATCAAAACAAAAGCTTTTCTGCATTCTCACCACAAATTTCACCAACAGAAATTTGCAAAGTAACAGATAAAGAAGCCTAAAGCATTTTGGAAAAAAGTGTTCAGAATTTCATGAAAAGAACATCTCTCCAACTTTTCAGCATGAGGGTGGAACAATAACAATAACAGAATAACATAAATTTGACCTTTAAATATATCCTCTCAGAACAAAACTTTATCTCCAGTTTTATTTATTTATTTTTTTAAATTGCATCATATGAAACTCTATTATAAAATCTCACTACATTAACATACATTAACTTACACTAAGTCACATTCAGTTACATAAGAACTTTTTTAATCTCTTCTATAAATTTACTGTTTTGATGATACAAAGTTTTGTCCTGACAGCAATGATATATTAATATTGTCAAAATCAATCAGATGTTCTCTGGTGATAACAAAATATGAGTGGTCAGTATCTTAGTGAAAGTCAGTGCAAGTCTACACGCTGCTGGGGCAGGGTTTCAGTAGAGCTCCCTCTGGTGGCTTTAAGGCTCTAATATGTATATCTATGACTTAATAATAATAATAAAAAAATTTGAATATGATTTGATACACTCCCAATACTTATCTTAACAATCAGAGTTTGGAAAGTTTCTGTTTCTGTTTCTGACCAAATGCTAATAAACCACACAGTTATGATGACACTTCTAGAAAAATTCACTCTAATATTATGAAATGTTAATTATTTATTCTATTATTTTTGATAAATGTTTGTTTACACGTATATTCACTAACATATTTGTGTATTTATTCAATTCATGTTCACCATATTTTGCTGTGTATGACTGTCAGTCACTGTT